AGTCTTAGAACAACCCCTCATTTCTCTACTTCCACCGCCATTCCCATTCTTCATTTTCTCTCAACCTCCCACTCAATTATCTAAGGACTTTTAGAGGGCTTTTGAGTGGTTTTTGGTAAAGAGTTAAGCCAAAGCATCCTAAGGTAAGATTTCTTGCTATATATGTGAGATTTATTTATAGAAGTGTTGAAGTCTTATATTATTATTGTTGAAGGTTTTAGAGAGAGGACTATCTACGAAAGGAAAAGAGATTCTAGTGGAGTCACTCAATCACAAGGTAAGTAAATCCAATTCAAGTTAAGGTTTAAGAAATCACTTGAGTTCTTTATGTATGTATATCTTATGCTTGTTGAGAAATTGAGATGAGATGTGTACTTATTTATGATTGTTGGATATGTTTCAATTATGAGAAGTGATTTTGGATGTGTGATGAGAGATTGAGGTTGGGTTGAAGTTGGATGAGTTTTGAGTAAACTTTTTGGGAGTATTTTTCCTTGACAAGAATTATGATTATACAAGAGAGTTTCTTCCCATTTTGGATGGTTAAAGAGAGAAGTAGAGTTATAATTAAAGTAGAGTTGAGTTATAATTAAAATAGAGTTTTTGTATGCACACTTATTGTTTGATGAAATACCTAAGAGAAGCAAGAGTATGAGTAGGGAACTTCAAATTCTTGCAACATTGCATATTTGCATTTCATGAGTACATTTAATGAGCATGAGTCATCCACATGCATATATTTTGCATTTGTGTAATAGCTTGTGTAAGAGCTTGAGAAAGAGTACAGAATGCTAAGAATAAAGCACTTTAAGAGTAAAGAAAAAGAAAATAAAAGAAAGAGAAGTGCTAAAGAAGAGAATAGGTTGTGCGATGGGGAACCCGTGAGTGATGGGTAGAGTATTCCCGCATGTACGCCGCATTGAGAGAGCAACCTGAGCATGAGAGAAAGAATTGGTATAGCCCGTGAGAGTACATGTGGATGAGGGCTATACCCGAGAGTACCCGAGAGAGAGAATACACTCACATGGTCAAAGGTTCTGAATCCATGCATAACCGAGTCCGATCGGCAAAGAGTAAGAGAGCATAAGAAAGAACAGAGAGAGAGAAAGAGAATTAGTAGAAAAGAATTGTGAGAAATAGAGAAACCGAGATAAAGAATAGAAAGAATAAGAAGAGAAAGAAACTTAGAAGAGAGTAACGTAATGAAAGAATTAAGAAAAGAGTTACGGGGATAGAGGAGTAGAGGATTTACTTGCTGAGCATTGTTTGTGCTCACCCCATTGTTTTCTATGTTTTTGCAGGAACCAGGTGAGGATGCGGTCGAATGGACGTCGACAAGCAAAGAGCAATAGTTACACTGTCTACTATTTTTGATGGTTTTGGTACATGAGATTTTGTACGATGTAAAGAATGTATATATTTTAATAAAAGAAAAATTTGGGCCCAACTACTTTTGTTACTATACATGTATTTTTATTATGTGTATTTTTATGAGTATATTAGTAGAAAGCAATTATTACAAAATCTGGGTTGCTTTGTTAGCATCTTGAGAGGCTAAATCTTGCCTTATGCTACTTCACTATGGTTTTTTAGGCCAAATCTTTTTTATGTAAATATATATACATTTATTTTGAAAAACGTGTCGAACAGTTAAAAAATTGGTCTTCTCACACAGGCAATCACTCCATTACTTTGTCGGATTGGAGATAAGATGGTTTTAAGCTTATTATCTAGGTAATAATAGAGAGCCAAGCTTAAAATATTTAACGTCGCCTAAAACAGAATAAAAATAATGTCATAATGAAATAAGACCATAAGTGATAAATTATCAAAATTTATTACTTTATATGTCTAATTGTTATATTAGAATTCTAATGAATTAAAAGTATGTATAAAGTGAACTCAAGTTAGATATTAAGTATGTCTGAACTAAAATATGTACGACATTTACAAGAAAAAAGGGATATACACTCCATGGGAAAGGAGAAAATGTTGTAGCATGTGATTCATACCACATGTGCAAAAATATTGACCAAGAGGGTAATGAAAGTCAAAATCTCAACTTTAACATTGTGTGAGACGTTGAGATTATAACAACAAATCTCATACCCTTATGACTTTATTCTGTTTCTTGAAAGCTTTATATAATGATTACTATCTTAAAGTGTTGCCAAAAGATTAAGATAAATTTAATCTATTATGACATTTTTGAAAACGCAAATTAAATTAAAGTTGCGAGAATCGAGAAAAGAGCAAGATACAATTTTGGATTATCACACTATAATCATATGTATTCATTGGTCGACCAATTATGTTTTGCTTTTATGTAAAGACAAAACATAATTATGAATACAACAAATATTTATTATAAATGAGATCATTAGAGAAAGAAAAGTAATTTAGAGTATTGCATACAACATACAACCCAAGTTTCATTATTCGAGAAGTTATATATTCCTAACATATATATAACTAATATGCTCTCGATGTATGCATGATCACACAATATATTTACAAAGTATGAATCTTGTAGAAACGCAAAAAGAGATGGTTTTATCATGTGTGAGTATGAGATATTGGATACGAATAGGACACCCATTATACAATATTTGAAGTGGTAACTGCCAAGCAGTTACCACACACACTCATTACCATTTGCAAATAAAAGAGAAAGAGGATTAGTTTTTTATCTTTGGTTTTGCAATTTGGAGGATTGGGAATAAGGGAATTTTATGTGCAAAGCTGTATTTCAACTTGGGTCTACCAGAGGTAGGGGTGAGTAGTTCTGGGTACCCTGCATTTTTCGGAGAAACCGGAACCGAAACTACACAGTGCAGGTTCCCAAAAAAAAGAACCGGACCTAGAACCACAAAGTGCATGTTCTTAAATTCAAGGAACCTAAACCTAAAATGCAGGTTTCGGTTCCTTTCCCGGGCACCCTGTAAAAAATTAATTACCCCCTATTAGTTTAAAAAATGACCAAAATACCTTAAAAGTTTACAAATACACCCCTAACAAATTTTGATTACACATTCATTTATGTCCAATGTGACTCATAAATCCTCTAATCTCTAGGCAACACTTGAATTCAATCAATTCATCATAATTCACATAAAATTCTTCAATCAAAACCAAAACACAAACAATTAATTAAACAATCATACTATAAATCTATAATTTAATATTATAATTAATTAAATTTCTAATCATTTAATTAAATATTGTACTAATGTTTATAATGGAATATTATAATTAATTAAATTTTTAATCATTTAATTAAGTATTGTGCTAATGTGGAAAATCACTAATGTTTATAATATAATGTCATAATTAATTAAATAATCATTTATTTATATAATATTATAATTAATTACGTTATTAAACTATAATGTAATGTTATAATGAATTAAGTAACCATACTATAAATCTTTAATGTAATATTATAATTAATTAAATTTATAATCATTTAATTAAGTATTGTACTAATATTTATAATGAAATGTTATAATTAATTAAGTGATTATTTAATTAAGTAATCATTTGTTTATAACGTAATGTTATAATTAATTAAGCAATTATACTATAAATTTATAATGTAATGTTATAATTAATTAAGTAATCATACTATAAATTTATAATGTAATGTTATAATGAATTAAGTAATCAAACTATAAATCTTTAATGTAATATTATAATTAATTAAATTTCTAATCATGTAATTAAGTATTGTACTAATATTTATACTGGAATATTATAATTAATTAAGTAACCATTTAATTAAGTAATCATTTGTTTATTATGTAATGTTATAATTAATTAAATTTCTAATTATTTAATTAAGTAATGTACTAAATTATTAATGTAATGTTATAAACTTATAATTAATTAAGTAATAATTTAACTATAATGTAATGATATACTTAGAACTTGATAATTGAAGTAAATAACTAAATATTATATTATTAGTCAATCAAATATACTATTTTATTCAAAAATAATTCTTTTAATAACATTAAAACACTATTAATTGGTCCTAATTCCAATTATACACTTAATTAATCAAAACTTTAATATTAATATATTATAATATATTAAAAAAATTTATATAGTGTAGTTTATATGTAATAAGTATAATTGTATATTTATTTAATTAGGTTATTGTAAAAATTTAACTTTTTCCATTTTAATTTTTTTATATGTAAAATTACAATAAACCCCCCATTCTTCATATATATTTATTTCAGCCCAGATTCCAAAACAGGGTACCCACTGCAGGTTCCAAGCAGGTTCCAAGTCCGGTACTTGCTGCAGGTTCTTTTTTCCAAGTTCCGGTTCTAGTTCCTCCACATACAGGAATCGAAACCGAAACTGCACAATGTCGGTTCCAAAAAAATGGAACCAGAACCTGCCCGCACAGTATCTATTCCGAGTAGGTTCTGGTTCCGATTCCAATTCTAGTTCTACCCATATGTTCTAGTTCTACCCACTATCCATGCTCACCCCTACCAGAGGTATTTATGTTGTGATTTTGTTTATTGCAATTCGTTAATTATATTAATGTGATTGCAATGATGAACATGTTAACATGATCTTGGGATTAAATTAGGAAATATGTTATTCTTAATTTACTAACACCTTCCCGAACCAAGGCTCTTCACTCATGAGTTCGCTACTTATGCAGAACCACAACACAACACAAATTTTTCTCTATGACTGATGAATTGTTCAACAAAAGTAATTCACCACACAATACTTATTGACTCACAGACTAAGAACTTGTTCAGTGCAAGAGTTCAATACTCAACACAGAGCAAAAACTTACAAAATGATCATGCATTTAGTGTAAGCTAAACAAAAAACCATTATCAGATGTAAAAACACATTTACATTCGAGATACGCCATAACTTAGTTACATACAATCTGGTAACATGCACAGATGCATAAGAATATTCCACATACCTAAGGTCAATCAAAAATAATGTTTGCAGAATATATACTATCTAGGATATACTTGGAAAATCCCAAAACCTGGTTCACAAAATAAGTTCTTAAGCAACGATAGATATGACAACCTATTATACAGCTATTACATGAGAGTACATATATATAAATAAACGGTTAAAACCAGAGCTTAGAAGTGAGAAATATTAGCCTCAATTTCCTTCATTTTTCATTAATGTCTTCCCAGTCAAACCACAAGCAAGTGCCTCGTTTGGAATGTTACGAACATGTTGGATACCTTCAGCAAATACCACTCCCATACCCATATGCAAATGAGGTTCAATGTGGCAATGGAATGGCCAAACTCCTGGATTATCAGCAACAAACCTCAAAGCAGTCCACCCATAAGGGAAAATAACTGCAGTATTTCTCAATGGTGGATTCTTCAAGTTAAGTTTCTTCTTATCCATCTTTGAAAACTTTCCTTCTCCATACCCCAACATCCAAAAATCATGCCCATGCAAATGCCATGGATGTATTTCACTAACGTTTGCTGATAATGCATTAGCATTTTGAAGTATAACGTCAACTGTGGTGTTAAAACCAAGCATGTAAACCCCATTTCCCGTCGTCGAGTTAGGGTTAACTGGTGGCTTCATCACGTCATAATCTTCAGAAAAGTTTTCCGGTGGACTTTTCTGATCAAAAGCAGTTTTGAGTGAGAATTTAATAGAACCAATGTAAGGAGTGGCAGGCAAAGTCAAGGAAATATTGTTAATAGCCCATTTGGTGAATCCATTGATGGTGTTTTGGGTGTTGAGAAGAATAATTCGACGTTGGTAAGTTTCAGGAGGCTTAGGGGAACCCATTAGGGCAAATATTTTGTTAGAGAAAGACTTGCTGTGGTTATAATCATTCCATTTTGGAGTAATGGGTGGTGGAGAGAGAGGTAATTTTGAGGCAGAAGTTGGATGATAGTTTAAAATTGAGAGAGCTTGAGGGGTTTTGGGTTCTCTTCCTCTTACACCAACTGAAATCCAATAGTTCTTGGAGGAATCTTGATTTGTTGTAAATAAAACTGAGTAACTTTCACCTGAATAAATGTCCATATCATCTACATCAAATGGTTGGACATAGTTTCCATCGGCTTCCACCACCACCATTTTGTGATTCTAGATCATTAATACAAAAATATAAAATTAATAAACATTTACATGCATATTATTTAATGAGTGAATTAATTAATTCAGCTAGTTTAACTTATTTGGGAAAATAATTTATCTTAATCTATTAATTTATCATTTATCACATCCCACTAATTATACTTAAGCTAACAAGATTGAAATTATATTTTAAGGTTGTTTTAGTATGTGGTTTTTAGGACATGTTCTAAGAATACTAACTATAATTTTTAAAGCATCAAAGTGACATAAACAACCCTATTTTTTAAATCAAAGTTTATCTAATATGAAATTATGAATAGAAATAATATATTTAGAAATAGGAAAAAATGAACATGTGAACGATATTGTTGTCTGAAAGCAGAAACACAGAAACAGGCGCAGTCGGGGGCAGAGAGTCAGTGTATGGTCACACATCTGCTACTGGTAAAAAGTTTCAGGCACGCTTACATATCCCTACTTTTTTTATTAAATCTTTTTAACCAGATTGTTACATTCTGATAGTGATATTTGAAATAAATGATCTATTTTTTTTTCTTTAATTGAATAATATGTCTAAAAATCCTTATCCAAACATTCAGTTATAAATGGCACTTTCACTCTACAATTTTTTATTTTTCAAAAGTGATAAATATGCTCAATTCTTGACACATGTAATGTAATAAGAAATAAAATATATATTTGTTACACTCAAGCAAAAAAGTGATGGCAGCATCACACTAACTAAATTCTAATTGCTATTATGATTTCTGATTTGGATTCACATTCACAACTAAACTAATTGAATGTGAAAAACTGGAAAAGGCAACTTAGTGGACAACTATTACGCATTAACTTTTTATTTTGAGGAAATTTCTCAACTAATATTCTATAATTTATCTAACGTCTTTAAACAAAAGTAGTATCACCTTTAATCAGTATATCTTTTTATTGATTCGAGAATAAAATATCTAAAGAGAAACTATATATATTCCCTACTTTTGTTATTATATCTTTTTAAGTTTTAAAAAAAAAAACAAATAATAGAATAGGTTACCCCAATAGCCAAATTGAGTGAGGCAAGAGCCGTGGTACTAGCAATCCTCAGCCTGTAAGTTTTATTTGGGAGCACGCGCAGAATCTGGGGTGCGCATTGTTCATTTCCTCTGAACTTGCATTGTTTAATGGATGAATTGCTAAAATGCGCGGCCATGGAACAGTTGTATTGCCCTCTTCCATTAATCAGTAGTGTCTGAAGCAAAAATTTCGCAGACATATCAAAACAATTTCCATTTATCTTCTTTTATGAATACCGAGTTTGGACCAGACCACCCACCAAACCTATAATATTTTCCTTTTTATGTGCTTTGAAGTCAATTCAATGTTGAATGATGAAGATGGAGAGTGGCAATTTATTTATAAAATAAACTATACCTGTGGCTCACCAATCCAACGAAATGGCTTAGAGGAGAGACCTACTTCTTGGTCGTGAACACTTTGGTGCCACCAATCACTCAGTAATAGGTTGAATTCACCATCATAATGGAAAGGCTCTTTTTCTCCATCTCCCACATCTACTATCAGAGATCCATACAGCCCTGCTGATCTTTGCATCCCAAAGTGTCCATGGTAAAAATATGTTCCTGCCTGTACCCCATCGGCCATCCATAAATATAAATGGGTAGATCTAGAAATAGCAAAGTTTAAAACATGCAAAGAAAAAAGTGTACCTTGTCAACTTTGAACCTGTAAAGAAAGGTTTCTCCAGGGTTGATAGCACATTGTGAGATGGAAGCAGTCCCATCTGCCCATGGTGTTCCAAGCTGTAAGCCAATCAACAAATTTGTTTTTAATTACTAAAAGAACAAACATGCATGTTCTCATGCAAATAAATAAAGGAGAGAAACCTGTCTGATTCCATGCCAGTGAATGACAACTCCTTCAGTATGGAGTTTGTTAGTGAGCTGAATAGCAATTGTATCTCCAGCTTTAGCTCTGATGGTTGGCCCTGGAAACTGTCCATTAATTCCCATCACAACATGCTCCATGCAATCTGGTGCTCCAAACATGTACTCCACTTCCCATTTGAAGTGCCTTGTTTTTGAACCAAATGCGATTACAATTTGCGTACACAACAAAATGCACCAAACCACAACAAGTCTAAACATTTTGTAGCCAAAGAAAGAGAAGAAAAGATTTCACAAGGATGATGAGAGAGATGAAAAAGTGAATGGTTTAGTTGGGGTGTTGTGTGTGTATGTGTGTATATAGTGGATGCTGCATACATTTATAAAGTTATAATTAGATTGGCAATAATTTTTGTTTTTCATTTGTTTTATGTATTTAAATGCGCTGGCACTCGGAGAAAGGAAGAGTGGTTGAATTATTATGCGCGTAGAGTGGGTAGCGATGTGATGGCATTCCCTTTTAAAAAATAAAAATCACTTATAGCGCATGTGTTGGTCTGGTCATTTTCATTTTCCTGTCAATATCTGAATAACCACAAATATCTTCCTCATCATCATAACATTGACTATTTTTCTAACCTCATTTTTGTGTTAATAAGAAGACCTATATCATTATTTCAATTACTGGCAATTCTGTTCATTCAACTATACTATTATTTCAATTTCACAACTATCTCGTTCACATATATTATATATAATTATTGGTGTATACTCCTAAGAAGACTAATATAATTTGGGAACTAAAGCTACATATTATTTTATTAATTTATTGGTGGCTTTGCCTGCAGTAAAATACGGATTGATTGAACATTATTGAAGGCTTGCTTCATGCTCCTATCGCCGGCCTTAAGATTTTAGTAATGCCTAAAGTTGTTTATATTATATATAATATATTGGTCATTGGTCAAAATCTATGGCTCCTCGGTCTCAAAGTATAATCTTTCTTTGTTTTATTAAATATTAGCACCTGGTTTTCTGATGACTTCAAACTAATGGCACCTATATGTAAGGGTGTTCAAAAGAACCGATTGGAACCAAAACCGACGGATACCCAGGGTTTGGTTCCGGTTCCTACCCAGAATCGACTGTCAACGGGTAGGTTTTGGCTCCAAATTTTTGGAACCGAAACCGGAAACCGAGAATAATATAAAATAAAATTAAAGAGTAAGGGGGTTAATAAAAACTTTTGTAGAAAAAGTAATGTGAATACATTTATATTTATATTTCATAACATTTAAAGTAAGTTGGTTTGACTTTTGAGAATCTATCTTTACAAAGTAATGGAGTTTTTAATTTTGAATTTATAAATTGTAATTTTATTTTTTTTAACAAGTTCCAGGTGGGGGGTTATTTATAAGTTTTTAAGGTTTTTTTTACCTTTTTAAAAACTTTTGAGGGGGTCATTGTAATTTTATAGGATACCCAAAACCGGAACCGTTGTTACAGGTTCTGGTTCTGGGTACCTAAGAACCGGAACCGTTGGTTTCGATTCCGATTCCAAATTTCAAGGAACCGTCGGTTCCGGTTCCTGTTCCTGTTCCTTTAAAAAGTGCAGGGTACCCGGCACTGAACACCCCTAGCTATATGTCATCAAATTAACATTACTACTATAATTCATGATAATAATAATAATATTAATAATATTCTGATTAAAGTATGGAATCTTCTTTTTTGGGTTTTCTATTCTAACGTGAAACAAGCATTCATAAAAGCATGAAATTATGAAATCTTTTTTGCTGGAAATAAAATAAAATTTTATTAATAAAGATTATAAATTGCATTATTTATTCTGGTAATGGGAGATGTCCTGATTTTTTTTCCTCCAAAACAAGAAAGGGACATATTCTCTAATTAATAATTGACTACGCTTTAACTTAACTGATAAATAAATGAATTAGCAGACAGATCGTTGTCATACTTTTCAAGTTTCATCAATATTAATATTTACTAGTACAGCTCATTTAGATATTATGAGAAGACGAATGTCTTTCAAAGGATTTCGTGACTCAAATGTCTACAAAAAGAATGTGAAGTATGATTCAATCAACCTTTTATTATCATCTATACATGTATGCCTAATTAACTACTTATTTATATATATGCATGACAAAATTGTTAGAATCCGAAGCTGGCAACTTTCGCCAACACCATCCATAGCACCCTTGTCCACCCGCCACCAAAATCTCACCCTCTTCGTCGTGAATTCACCCACCAATCTTCGGCCACAGTCAGATTTCTTTCACACGACGCGCAACTGTCCCAAGCCTCCCGGTTGATTTTGGCGACCTTAATCCCTCCCACCACCACCCCTTAACTCACCGGCATCCCTTCTCCAAAACCCCCATCATCCCCGACCACGGTAGCCCGTTGTTTGTCGGCCACACACCGTTGTGATTGATTTCGTTTGATTGTTTTTTTTCTAGGTTTTTTCGTTTAATTTTGTTGATTGATTGTTTAGTTCTGTGAGGAAGTTTAATTGTTTGGTTGAGGGTGATGAATCCTATCGATTTGGGTGAGAAATCTGGTACGGATCCATAGAATACGGCTGACAATGACAATGGTAGTGAGTTGAGAGAGGGTGCTTGTGAAAGAAATTTCAAATGTGAAGGGTTATTTGAAATTTTTATTTTTATTTCAAATTTAATAAAATATAAATGACCACTTTATCTTTTTACCGTTATATTAAATAATTTTATGTTAATTTAAGGGTGGAAACTTATAGATTCGCAAAACCTTGAGTGGGAACATGTCTTTTACTCAGGAAATATAATATAAAAATTTTCTAATGAATTCATGGTAAAGATCTTGGTTGAGTTAATGCCTGTGGGGACGTGGGTTTCTATAGGGAGACCCACGTGCTTGTCCCCAACACCCCAGTAAATACCTAGGGGACTAGAACGATAGTGGCCATCGCAACCTAAGGATAAAATTTTTAACACTTAGTATAAAAAATATCATTTTATTCCCTATAAATTTAGTTTTTATCATTAAAGCCACCCCATGTTCTTAAAGTAACACTTTAGCCCTTGTAAGTGTGACTTCCTAATAACTTTCTGGCCCTATCATTCACTAGTGAGTTGAGAGAGGGTGCTTGTGAGAGAAATTTCAGATGTGAAGGGTTATTTTAAAAGTTTTATTTTTATTTCAAATTAATAAAATGTAAATGACCATTTTATCTTTTAACTATTATATTAAATAATTTTATGTTGACTTAACGGTGGGAGCTTGTAGATTCGCGAAACCTTAGGTGGGAATATGTTGTTTACTCGGAAAATATAATATAAAAGTTTTCTAACGAAATTCAACTAATTGCATTAGTTTGTTTTTTCATGGTAAAGATCTTGGTCGAGTCAACGCCTGTGGGCACGTGGGTTTCTATAGGAAGACCCACGTGTTGATCCCCAACACCCCAATAATTACCTGGAGGACTAGAACCCATAGTGGCGAAGCCATGTGTAGGCCTGAGGTGGCGATTGCCACCCAAGGAGAAAAAATTCAAAAGCTAGTACAAAAAATATCATTTTATTCCCTATAAATTTAGTTTTTCTCATTCAAGGCATGCCATGTTTTTAAAGTAACACTTTAGACCTTGTAAGTGTAACTTCCTAATAACTTTCTGGCCCTGTCATTCACTAAACATTAATTCTGTGAAAACACCCCCCCCCCCCCCCCCCCCCCCCCCCACCCACCCCCATTCTCCCAAAAAAATTTCCGGCTCCGCCCTTGACTAGAACACCAATTTTACATTGATACTCCTTGTTAAGATCAATGTTTACTAGAAATCTGTAGTTGTTAACAAATGAGTAACCTTATTTCCTTCAACTTTAGCCCTAACTCACGGTTTAAGGTGCCTCAACCTCCTAGCCTCCGCCGTGGAAAATGGTGCCCCACCTGCCATAACAACAACACTTTTACTTACCCAAAAAAAAAAAAAAAAACACACTTTTTTAGCTATTAAATCTTGCAAATTAGCTGGTTGAGTAATATAAATGTTTGTTCTCCGGCCCATAGTTATATATTCTCCTCATCGAAATGGAAGGTGATCAACAATATGCCATGGAATTTTAGAGTAGAGAAGTGAGCTTGTAACTAGAGGTTTATAAGCATTACAATAAATAAAAAAATAATAAAAATAAAAATCATTTTAGTGTTTATTATTTTATTTCAAATTAATTGACAAAAAGGGAGAAAAGTTATTGGAGTTGCTCCACCGAACTAATGATCCATTAGTATAGGTAAATGAATGTTATATTCAGAAAATGATGTCTGAAATATGGTTCAAAGTAATCTTATTTATTGAGTTAAAGGTTTTTAGAAAATTTATGTACGCTTCATTGATTTGAGGATTTGAAGAATTTAAAAAAAAATAAAAATGAAAAGAGTGAAAATGGTAGGGAAGTATGAATGAAAAAAATATATTTTGAAGTGGGAAAATGATGGAAAGGGCTAAGATCAATTTATAATTAACTTTTAAATTACATAGGAACCCTAACAACAAAGGGATACTTTTTAGATCCCCTGAGATTTGGTCAAACCCATAAACCCCCTCAGGTATTGGTAATAACACAAATGCCCTTACTGTCACTTACTCTTCGTTAGTTCTAACATCAAAGACAAATGAGTAAAATACCTAAAAATAGTTAAAAATTTTCTAATCAAAAATAAAAAGACAAGAAATTAACCTCTTCACTTGTGGACGGAAGGCAAAACCATTAGACATTAGGGTTAGCAATAAACAAAGGTATTGTATTCAAGTAACAAAAGAGGTACATGCCATATATATACAATTATCTTGATCCATTAGGATTATAGGATGTTACATGGTCCTAAGAATTAGGCAGACTCCAAAGTAGACATAGATACCTTAGATACATAAAAAAGAAAAAAAGAAGACAAGAAATTATAAACCCTAAAAAACCTATCATTCCTACCTCTTCGCCACCACCCCACTAATTACTTCCACTACTACCACCCCCAAAGAACTTCACCATTAAGGGTTTATCAATGGCCAAGGTTATGGCCTTTAAGAGGTCATTATAGTGGGTCTGGATACCTCAAATAACTAAAAAACCTATCATTCCTACCCCTTCTTCACGAATACCCTACTAATTACTCCCACTGCTACCTCCCTCAAAGAACTTCACCGTTAAGGGTCAGTTGTTGCGGCTTTATCAATGGCCAAGGTTGTGGCCTTTAAGAGGTCATTATTGTAGCCTCAGCAAATGCTGAAGCTGTGGCCTTTAGAGGTCATCCTTAAGGCCTCAACA